GGCTCCCTGCTCTGCGGGGAGCCTGCTTCTCCCTCTCCCACTCCCCCTGCTTGTGTTCCCTCTCTCGCTGTGTCTGTCTCTGTCAAATAAATAAAAAGAATCTTTAAAAAAAAAAAAAAGAAGCAACACTATATCAGACCAAGGAATGACTGGGGAGACCATAGTGAAAATAAATAGAAGCAAGTTGATTCCAACGCCATCGTGCTGGACAGACTCTCAAGGGCCCACTATCCCTATCTCCCGGCATTCATGCCCTTGAGTTTGGATGGAACCTTTCCTCTAACCAATAGAATATGGCAAAGGCAATGGAATGTCAATTCTGTGATTCTGTTATATAAGACTCTGTCTTGCTAGATTTACTCTAGAGATTCTTTGCTGGCCTGATGGAGCAAGAGGCCGTGTCAAGGAAGCCCACAGGGCAAGGAACGACAGGTGGTCCCTAGTAACTGTGGGAGGCTTCCAGAAGCTGAGGACAGATTCCAGCCAACCACCAGCTAAACATTTAAGCTCTCAGTCAGGCACGTGGAAAGAAGTGAATGCTGCTGGCAACCACATGAATAGAAAAGCAGATCCATTCCTAGTTGAGCCTCTAGATGAGGACCCAGTCCTGGCCAACACCAGCAAGAACCCAGCAAAGCCATGCCTGGACTTCGGGTCCACAGAAACTAAGAGATAATGGATGTGTGCTATTTTAAGCTACTGAGTTTATGGTAACTTATTACACAGCAAATATACGGCTCACATAACCATATTAAAACATCATATATCATGCCCAAGTGGCTTCCATTTTAGGAAGGCAAGGATGGCTTAATGTTCATATTTAATAAATTTTGTGTCTTATTGTTTGCCTTATCCTCTCATCCTGGACCCAAAATTAGGAAATCCATTAATATGATTCATCTTATTGTACTCGCGTCAGCAGCACATATACTGAAGTTGGAACGATAAAGAGATCAGCGTGGCTCCTGCACAAGGATGACATGCAAATCTGTGAAGCATTCCTTATTTTATTTTATTTTATTTTTGAAGCATTCCATATTTTAAAAATATATATGATTCAGCTCATTCATAGTGCTAGGAAAAATATCATATAACTATCTCCGTATATGTCTTCAACGAAAATCAATATTCATTCCTGATTTTAAGAAGCCACCTAATAAAATAGGAATTAAGGTATACTCCCAAGTACATATACATATATCTCCCTATCCCCTATCCTAAAGTCAACATCTCTCCTAACGGGGGAAGACTAGAGGCCTTTTTACTAGGCTCAGGAACAAGGGAAGGAGGCTCCTTTATATTCAATATTCAATATTGAATTGGAGGTATTTAGCCAATTTAATTAGAGAAAGCAAGTAGATGCATAAAAATCAGTAAAGAAGAAGTAAAACTATTTCAATATTCAGATGACAGCATACCTAAACTCTCTAGAAGAATTGATGAAACTAACAACAAATGAGGTAGATAGACACGAAACTAACAACAAATGTGGTAGATAGACACAAAACAACACACACACAATGACCCATTCAAGATATGACGGAAGAAAAAAAATTATTAATAGCAACAAACAAGCCAAGTACCCATGAATGAACTTAACCAAAAAAAAAAAAAAAAAAGTGAGGAAAACTCCAGAATGCTCCCAGAGGTGGTCTTGAACAAACCAAAGACTAAGCCATCCTAAACACACATTCCTTGGTTATGGATAAGATGGCTCAATTTGATAACGGTGTCAATTACCCTGAAGAGCATCTGTAAATGCGATATGATCCCAAGAAAAAAGAGCGTCCGCATGCAGGAATAGCTAGGATGCCCCGACACAAAAGCAGAGAGGAAGGACCACTAGCCCCACCAGATAGTCAAACCCAGGAACGGGCGCTGAGTTCAATCTCTCCCTCCTATTGCAATAATTGTGGATAAAGCCTCCCTTGCGGCTCGCACACACATGCATACACATGTGCACACATGCTCGACGCACCTTTGCAATTTCCGCCACGGGGGACCAGCACATGAAGAGAGAGAGCTAGTGAGACAGACTTGAAAGCCCAGACATAGGTCCAGTGCATTCGGGGGTGTATTATATGATACAGGTGCATTTTAGATCACTGGGGAAAAGACGGCCTCTTCAAAAAGACAGGATAGAGAGAGACATTTGGAAAAAGAGTCAATTGGACCCATAAACCGAGTACAAACCCAAACTAGTGCTGGAAAACACGGGGAGATTCCATACCATTGGGTGTAAGAACAGTCTTTCTAATGAGGATTTAAAATCTAGATGTAATAAAAGAAAGATTAAATCAAATAGATCAAAAATAGAAAGGTTTTAATGGCCAAACCTATCATAAACAAAATTTTAAAAACTTGGGAGACACATTTGCAATGATAATAAAGATAAAACATGAATCTCCCTAATATGTATTTAAACAAACTTTTAAATCCAAGGGGGAAAAAAAAGAGACCCCAAATCCAATAGGAAGCAGGCAAAATAGACGGACAGGCAGTTCGCAGAAAAAGACAGTCAAATGACTCGAACACGTACACCCAGATGTCCAGTGGCACTCATTATAGACATGTAAATTAAAATGCACTGAAATCCCATTTCCCGGGGCTCTGAGAATTGCCAGTTTGCGGGAGAAGCACACAATGTCATAGGTTGCTGGGGGGGGGAAGGGGAATTTGGGAGTAGCTAACAAATAAATACATATTAACTCCTACTTCTAACTTTTTAAAAGACTTTATTTATTTATTTGACAGAGAGAGAGCGCGAGCAAGCACGTGCACGAGCAGGGGAGGGGCAGAGGGAGAGGGAGAAACAGGCTCCCCGCTGAGCAGGGAGCCCGACACGGGGCTTGATCCCAGGACCCTGAGCTAACGACCTGAGCCGAAGGCAGATGCTCAACTGACTGAGCCACCCAGGCGCCCTTAACTCCTACTTCTAGGAATTAAAGACACACCTCCGCAAATGCAAACAACATATATGCAAGGTTATCCTTTCCCCTATTGTTTGGAATAACAAAAGCCCGGAAAAAGGCCAAACGTCCATCCGTGGAGCACGGGCTGAGTTAAGTGTGATGTAGCTGTCCGGAAGAATAAGGAGAGTCTCTATGGGCTGCGAAGGAGATATTTTTAATTGCAAAAAGCAAAAAAGTATGTAAATGTTTTACACACCTGAAAAATAAAATGGTATCATAAAGACTAAAAGGAAAAAAACCCAAATTGCATGCAAACAGAAACAGATGAGGCTATTGGCATCACTGGCGCAGTGCTGACTCTGCACCCAAAGACATCCTGACCTTGACCAGGTAGGTTTGGGGAGGCAGTGATTCAGAGGTAGTGACTCTAAAACTCTGTGGGGTGTATTCTAAGGCCATGCAGATGATTACCTATATTGATGTTTGGGGAGAACCAGGTTCTTAGTGTGGGAGGAAGACGAAAATATTAATTTTTAGTAAAAAAAAAAAGATGTCTTGCCTCGGTGCATTGAGAAGGCCTAGAGACAATGACATCAAGGTGAGCACATCTAACGTCCAGATACTAGTTTCTGAAACCCACCCGCCACTAAAAGGCATGCGAGGCTTCTTGGAGCTGACTCTAGGTCTGGGTCAAAATACGAGTGAGAGATGGAACATTGCTCAAAGACTTATGCGGACATGTCGAAGGGGCGCCGAGAGCAGCCTGCACACCCAGCCCAAACATCCAGCAGCATCCCGTCCCATCTCTGCAAACTCTGGGCGGGCGCCCCTCTCCCGCTGGACACAGGGAGGTCTGAGAGCAGCAGGGACCCACTCGGGACATGCAGGGAGTGGGGCACTGAATGCTGGAGCCCAAACCAGGCTCTCTTGTCCACCAAAGCGGATGACCCCACCACCTGCAGAACACACCGCCCTCCTCAAGCCTCCTGGCCCTGCAAGGAGGGAGTTAGCCTCCAGGCGGCTGCAGCCCCACGGGCATGGGAGTGCCTCCACATCGGGTGGGTTGGCTCTTCCTCGAAGATCCCGGGCAGACTCCAGCAGCCTCTTCCCTGCTCCCTGTCCTGCCCCGTGAGTCCTCTCTACCCACCTCCGGGGAATCCTTTCTGCACGCAAACTCTAACCACACGGCACCCAGAGGAAAATCCAAACTTCACTGAACTCCTCATTGGCTCTGCCCCAGCTCCTCCCACCCACCACCTGTGTCTGCCTCAGGGGCCTCGCACCTGCTGTTCCCTCAAACCTTTCCAGTGGGCTCTGCCCTTGCAACTGCATCCCAGCCAGTGGTCACTGGTCAGGGACTCTCCCTGACCCTCCCTGACCAGGATAAGGCTAGGCCCCCACCACAGTCTCCCTCTGCCCCCAATAACCCTGTCTTATTTTCTTCCTAGCAGGTATCCTCTGCCAGGAGCTCGGGTTGTTCTTTGATTGCTTGCTCAGCTTCCCTAAGCACTTCCTGGGGCTGGGAGCAGAGAGCACACAGCTGGGGCTCCGTGAATATTCTGGGTGCGTGAGTGGGCACCTGACACAATGTCCGGAGTATGGCTGGTAGAGCCAGTCCTCCCGCGGCTGGAAACCCAGCTTTGTCACCTCCTAGTCCTGTGACCTTGAATAAGTCCTGTCACCTCCCTAAGCCTCAGTTACTTCTACTGAAAGATGGAGACACAGCTCCTGCCCACGGGTAAATCTTTCCAGGGCACTTCTGTGGGTACTGAGGCTCAGCAGAACATCTGCCTCCCGCGGCCCAGGAGGCAGGAGGGAAGGGGCTGGGGTGAGCCCCTCCACTTCCCCAAGCTTCCCTGTCCGCCCTTTCCACACTGCCCCGGGCACACAGCATGTGGCAGGGTTGGGAGCACCCCTCACCACCTCCCCTCCAGGCCTGCCTTTCCCTCCCTGAACGCAGAGAGGAGTGGGCGAGGGGTCCCCCGACTCTGTCTGCTGCCACTGCCCGAGGCACACACTCAGATCCCCAAGCTGACCCCACGGTCCCTGCAGGCTCTCTGATGCTGGCATTCTTTCCTCAGTCCCAGCCCAGCTTCAGAGACAACACCCCTCCTTCTTCACAAGCACCCAGCAAGCAAGCTAGTCCCATTTCATAGACCGGGAAACTGAGGTCCGGTGCGGGGTGGGGAGGCCTTGGGTCCAGGCTGGCTTTTCCTGCCCCTCGAGCGGCCGCAGAAGCTTGCTGCTCACCCCGAGTGGAGTGGCGGGGGGCGCTCAGCAGGGCTTATCTCTCGCTCCGGCGGCGGCCAAGGGGGTG